AGCTGGTTCCCTGCCATGGCTGAAGGGCCCCTGAAGGGAGGCTTCCTGCAGGTTCTCTCTGAATGTGGGGAAAGAACCCAGCCTAGCATTTGCTTTGTGAGTGTCTCCTCCACATGAGGAACTGCAAACAAAATCTGCATCAAGACCAGGTTGTGCAAGGGTTGAAAAAGAAAAGCCCAGATGAAAACAACATCAGGAGAAAAACAGGACAGGTTTTCCTAGAGGTCTTTGCCTATAAAACCCATCTTAAAGTAAGAGGGACAATAAGACTGGGTAGATAGCCCAGTGAGAAATGCGTTGGCCACGTGAGCATGAGGCCCTGCGTTCGAACTCCAGAACAGAGCTTGGTGGCACATGTGTGTAATCTCAGTGGCAGAGACATGATATCCTCAGGCTTGCCTGAATCAGAAGTTCCAGGCCAGTGAGAAACCCTGTTCAAAACAATGAGGTAAATGTTTCCTGAGGAATGATACCCAGGGTTAGCCTCTGGTCTCTTCAGGCATGTACACACACGTGGATGCACACCCATACGTGTGCACCCACACAAGCATGCACATACAGAGTAAGGGAAGCCAGTGTATTCACCTAGTGCAGGTGTGTTAGGAAAACACAAGGTATTTTCTGTCAAAACAAAACAAGGTTTATTGCATGTAGAAATCAATACATATTTTTTTACAAAAAAGTGGGGGTAGAATAAAGTTCTCACATTTGTAAAGGCACATAGGAAACAGTTTACAGCAACAGCAAGGACAGAGACAACATCCTCTAGGATCATTATCTAAGTAAGACTTTGTAGAAAGACGGGACAGTGCAAAAGAATACTGTCAAAAGTCAGCACCCTACACCTCAGAGCTGTGTAAGAGGCTGGCGAGCAGAAGCTTGTTACTGACAGACAACAGCTCATGGGACAGCATGCATAGCTTTATTTGGGCTTTTAATATTATCCGTGTGACGGAGAGTCTCTGCCAAAGCACAGTCAAGGTGACCATCGGTAACTTAGGAAGGAATGTCGTCCTCTTGTCTCCTCTACCCTTCTCCAGCCCTCAGGTGTAGTTTGCTAGGAGAGAGGTTTGACAGCCACTGAGGGGTGAGCAGCTGCCATGGACTGGGCGCTGAGTCCCAACCTGGAATGCTTTTTTGTTTTTTGTTTTTGTTCTTTTTTTTTTTTTTTAACAACAATGCTTTTGTTTTTGTTTTTAGCTTACAACGTAGTGTGTGCTATCTCATGCCCAGGCCAGTCCACAAAAGCCAACCACACCTGGCATATCACTGTATTCCAACTGTGGTGGAGGTCTGAGGGCTTCTGTGGGCTGACCCAAGAACCCTAAAGAAAGCTGGCTTCTAAGCTGAGGGTGTCTCTGTATCATTTCAAAATAAAAACTATTAAATGTCAGTTAGTTTGAAGGAAACCAAAACTCACAACATCTGACAGAAACAACCAAAAAGCAAGCATCAAAATACCGAATGAAGAAGTGACTGACCAGTGAAGCAAACTAGCCAGTTATTATGTAACAAGTCACAAAAGGTTACACTTTCAATAGTCATCTGCATATGTAACCTCCCCCAGGGAACCCTTAGCCAGGTCAGCTGACCACTGAGGGACGAGGGCACCCAGTGGAAATCATCTCTGAGGAAGCTTGTAGCTAAAAGAATGTGGTTAAAGGATTCCAGGACTACCAGTAGTGGCAAGGAGCTTCAAAGGAAATTGCAATAAAACTTTACAGCCTTTGAGTCTAAATAAAATGGCTCTGAAGGACAGTCTTCAGTTCAATACTGAAGGTATTTATTAGCTAACACTGCACTGAGGGAGGCTGGAGGCCCCAGAGAAATGCCAAGAACTCCAAGCGCCTGCCCGAGCCACCTGGCTACACTCAGCATTCCTGAGGGTTTAGTGTGAGGTCCCACCCTAAGGCATGGAAAAACCCTTTCCGATCTAAATGGTTAGCTTCTCTCCTCTCAGCTTTCCACCCAAAAAGAGTTTGTGTCCCTGAAGGAAGAGGTTGGGGAAGGTAAAATAAGCAAGTCAGGGGGTTGGAGATAGCTTATCATGCATTAGCTATCAATCATAGCTCCATGGGGCTCCCTGGGGAGCCTTGAGGAGCACCTGTCCCACCAGCTGACCAGGGAGACTGAAGCAGACAGTCCAGCAAGCCAGAAGGAGGTTAGACTGCAGGTCACCACACTGGCGCTCTCACTCAAAAGCCTGTTAGGGGCACCTGGAAATAAACGAGAAGTCTACTGCCATTATTTCTAGTCGCACTAACATCTGTCCTTTTTTCTCTCTTCTGGTACTGAGGGACAGTGTTTGCCCCTCAGGATGGAGGCCTGGTTGTGAGAAGCCTTCTATCCAATTCATTTTGGACACTCATTTCCCAGATCCTATCCCCACCCCCCCCCCCACCCCCCCCCCCCCTCCCCACCCCCGGAGCCGTGGAACCATTGTTTCTTAAATTAAGAATCCATCCGTGGACATTTTAGAGATGTTTAAGGCCATGGTCCTTTTTGCCAGATGTAACTTTTGTAGGAGCTTTGTGGACAGGTAGGGTAAAATAAAAAGTGAGCTTCAGAGAGCTCATCTGGAAAGCAAGTGAGGAAGCAAGGAAAGCTGGTGGTATTCTGGGTAAACAAAGTGACCTGGGATGCAGACAGTGGCATCACAAGGGGGCACCACCTCGTCCCTGCACAAGAACACTCACCGTCACCACACAGCGCAGCGCTTGTATAAACGTGACTTGCACAGGCATTCACAAGCAAGAGAAATTGTGAATGCTAAGCACAGGGGTAGCGTGCATGGGCAGAACTCTCTGCTCACAAGCACACAGTATCGGGCAAGGAGTCTCCAGAGCAACTGTCCAGATGCAAAGACCACATGTCACAACCCAATACAGGTAGCAAGTAAGGAGCCCAGAAGAAGCAGATCCCGAGGCTGGATCACAGTCTTCCCTGGGGTATTGCGTTATAGTTTCCAATTCTGACATCACTGCAGGGTTCAAAAAAGTATATGCCCGAAGAATTCTGGGTAAGAAATCCAGGGGTGATCTAACCTCTCCCTACTGTCTTTGGACAAGCTCTGAGTGCTTTTAGGGAATGATGTTCCTGCTGGCAAGAGACTAACAGAAGAGACACTTTCCATGCACCAGTGAGCCATATTTAGGCTGGCATTTGCTCCAACCCTCCTGCCAGACAACCAAATGCCCTTTAATTTATCTCTAAAATGAGGAGGCTGCTCCGAACAGCAAGAACTGATCTCCAAACAGCAGTACGCTATCCACCTATGAGATTGAATGGTGCCATATCCCCAGTGCCCGGTCATGAACAGGCTAACAGGACCACGTCAGTGAGAGTCCGAGAAAGGAGATGTACTGTATTAATCGGCAAAGGCTACAAAGGACTGAACACACCGGGTGAAAACATTCACTTCCCCTAAGGTTATAGCAAAAGCTGTGAACAGGGAAGAGAGGATCGATGTGGACAAGCTGCTGGACCAGTGTCCCAGCTCCCCTGAAATAACCGACATCTGGATAAGCCATGTTGGCAGCATGTGCTGAGCACACCCTCGTATTTCCCCAGACCTGTGGATAGTACATTCAGTAGATGTCCCTGGAAAGGTGATTTGCCACCAAAGGACTCAGAAGTGAGGCGAAAGCCAGTCCAATTCATCCTCTGTGCTCAGGCTGTAATAACCCTCTGGGGCTGTGACTGACTCCACCCTCCAGAGCCAATGCATCTGTCACTCATCAAGTCACAGGTCACCAGGGAATGTGCCTTTTCCCTTAGAAGACCCAAAGCTCTCTGCTAGACGCTGAGTGAGCCACTCTTGGAGAGAGAACACTGAATGAGGTGGCCACCTGGCTAGAATGTCAGCAAGAAACAGCAGCAACAGAATCTTTGGTAAACACAGAAGTTGAGGGCCCGATGGCAGTGACCTGGCAATCCGTAGGCAGCTCATTCCTAATACTGGGAAGCATGAATAAATTATTGGGAACAGGGGTCAGGGCTAATCATGTTCCTTGAGTTTATTCTAGAATGTCCCGGTATTCTTGCCCTCTCCACCTCAAGTAACTGGCACATCTCCAAAAAGAAATCAATTAACTGAATTTACTCTCTCCATCAGACATGCCACTAGAAATGGGAGAGCCTAGAAGGTACAGGGTACTTATTGCCTGAGACTCGTGGTCATTGATAACGTCTGGCATGAGCTTACAGGAAGGGACAGAAGGCTACACAGCAACAGGTCTGTCAACCCAGCTGGCCAGTATTCAGGGGCACCTTCCAGCCCGACCAGATGCAAAGCGAACACAGCCAGGTAGCAAGGTCACAAAGAACTAGTTCTGTGTCCACTAGCTTAGTTGTAGGAAAGACGAATGGCATTACCTCCTTCCTGAATTGGGGAAGAAACAATTATGCATTCAGTCAGTTTGGAAATTCACTACAGGCCAGTCTATGTTAAACTAGAGAAGAGAGGAAAATGCTAACCGACAGACAGTGGTAGCTAAAGGCAGAAGTTGAGAGCGGGCAGGGTATGGCGGCCTAGAAGCTGGTGGCTGTGTCTCATGAAGACCACGTCCTGAAGTGGAGGAGGCTGAAAGAGCTCAAGACTGAGGTGGGCGTTGGGGGGACGGGATGACAGCTTGCTTCTAACCATGAGTAATCCCTTTCTCATGGCAGGCAATGTCTCTCAAAGTAAGTACATTAAACCAAAGATGCTCAATGCAGTCCACGTGAGATGCCCTCAGCCTCCCTCGTGTCTTCGGCTCATCTCCAAATAAGCAGGAACCCACTTGTCTTCACCTCAACAAAGTGTCCTACATGCCTACCACTGTTCTCTACTTCTTACTGAAGAAGGAGCATGTGCAGAAGCGAAGGCCCCTGGGATCCCACCTGAAGTCACTGCAGAGCCCCACAAGACCAGCCACAGCTCAGCCAGACATGCCTCGGCCGTTTCACCTTTAACGCAGCTCACGATCTCAGGAATGCAGACACCATGGTAAGCAGGCAGGATGCAGAGGCCCCTGAACCGGGACAGAGGTGGACTTAGGCAGATGAGTGTAAGTAAAAGAGTGTGGTACCACTGGAAGACCTCAAAAGTGGGGCAGGCGAGCAGCCCACTGCTCTGCTGTGAGGTGGGAGGTCTTACTGGCTCCTGTTTTAACTTCCCCTCCTTCAAATCCAAAGTGTGGCAATGCACTGGCCCTCACAACTCCAGCTCTGGTCCCCACGCATCGTAGGAAACCTGTCCAAAAGGCCTAACCAGATAACTAATTTAATACACTTTGCTTCAAGGTTTATTCCTTGGCTCACTTCCCAGAGAGAAAGTGTCTCTGGGCAACTATTATGCAGATGCCTCTTTAAACGCCTGATGATAATTTAACCAGAGATCCAACGGGACTTACTGGGGATGGGAAAGGAATTCGGAATGTACTGAAGAACCAGAAGCAACTAACAGTGGTGTTTGAGAATGGAATCCGTACTCGAGACACTTAAATGTTTTCCTCTGGGTCTCATCATGTGTTGGCTAGGAAGTTGGGTAGTAAACTGACATTCTTCCCTGTACCTTGTTCTGCTAGCATAGGGTAGAAACAGCCCGAGTCACCAGTACAAAAGGACATCCTATCTCCTCACTGCCCGTGCGAGACAATCTGACCAACTAAAGCTTAGAGACGACAGACAAGGACCAGCGTTCTTCATTACATAATGAACCATACGTGGGGCAGACTGTCAGGACTCGGAAAGGGGAAACATCGTCCAAGGAAGTTAAGGAGACTTCCCACCCCTAATACTCTAACATTTTCCCCCTGAAATACCCACATACTGTCAGAATTCACACAGTATAACAGGCCATCAAGGTGCCCTGATTCAATCTGCATGGTGGAAGGGAGGCTGGCGGTGCCTCCTCTACAGAGTCTGAACCAACAGATGCCATAGCAACATCAGCACCAGCACCACCCCTGCCCAGTGGGAAGACAGCTTGGCTCATCTTCCAGAGGAGTTAATAGGGAATCTGCTGTCATAAGCATTCACTTGTGGGTGAGGACAAAAGCCACCAAGGCATACACTTTCTGGTTGGTCTTTTCAGCTCAGGAAAAAGGGGAAAAAATGTACGGTCAGTTTCACAGACTCACAGTTAAATGATTATACTCAGAGAAAAAGTAGACGTAGGCAGGAAACTGGGCTTCAAATCGAACGTGGTTGATGCTGTCACTGACCAGACTGGGCTACACAGGAAAGAGAGGCGGTGGAAGGTTTTGCAAGAGATGGTCTCAGAATTCATTACAGGGGGCAAGTGTGCCCTGTGTGCGGTAGTACACACCTGAAGTCCCAGTACTTGGGACAGGAAGACGGAGAGATAAGGAGCTATCCTCTTAGCTACGTAACAAATTCAAGATCACCCAGGAACCCTGCCTCAGGACAGCAAGGAAGCCCTAAGAGGGGTCAATTCAGCCCTCATCAGCTACAGCCTAGAATCAAGCAGCATGCAGTGAGTCGGACACAGGTGTGTGTCCCCTCCCGGCCAGGGCCCTACTAAGTGCCAGACAGCTCCCAGATGTGAATTCCCTTCACCATTTCCCTTAAGACCCTTCTAACAACTTAGGAAAGAATATGAAGACAGACTGTACCTAAGCTTCATCGGCCACACCCAACTCCATTCCCACCCTGGTGTGTTCTCTTCTCAAAATCAGGCAAAGGGCTGAGCTGTGCAGTCGGCTTGGCCCAGGGCTACCAGACCACAGTGTTGTGAGTATGCAAGACAAAGCAGCAGATACCCAGCCTGCTGTCCATCACTGTATCAGACTTCTGAACCAGAACAAGGGGTGAGAGAAAAGACAACAGCAGCCCCATTTACCAAAGATGGCATCGCCACCATTAGAGGCACTGTACTCTCCAGCCAATCCCACATTTCACCTAGGCTTAGGGAGAAAGATCGCTGAGGGTGAGGGCAGAAGTGAAGAAGAGAAAAGCAAGCGCATAGCAAGGTACACGAACTCAGGGTGTACAGGAACCTTTTCAAGGGTCTTGACTCTCTCCCTTCCAGCTGAGGATGAATTCTTTCTCTTGCCACTTTTTGACTGGGGGTGTTACCAATTTGCCTGCAACTTCACTAGAGATGCTTTCCCTTTATGCCTCTGTGTCTACAATGTCCCAAGGGGCCACCACCTTCCCTCCGGGAGGTTTACACTGCAGATCAGTCAACATGTGGTTCAAATGAGAAGCACTATATTATTGTGAAAAAAAATATGCATTATAATATCTCACAGAACTTATTCCAAAGAGGGAAAAAAAATAAATTATGTCTTATAAAATAATACATGATGTTTGTAAGTAACTCTGGCTCCTGCCTGCTGCCAAGCCATCTACCTCCAGCTGGGGAGGCAGATATTGTCTGGAAGTGGCGCCCCCTGCAGGACAGAGCTGCATCCTGGAGATCAGATGAGCCTGGAATTCTGCAGGAACTGGACGAGGACTTCGTAGACGAACTTGTACTGCGCAATGGTCTGGATCATGAACATCCTCTGCTCCCTGAGGAACCGCAGCATCGTCGGCACCTCCACCTTCTGCGAGGGAAGAGAAAGCGCACACAGGTTGAGACGGGACACTTCTCCTGAGCTCTTCCCTTCCGGGGGAAGCCTCTGCCCACTGCTGACAACCTGGAAGGAGGCAGAGCTAAGGGTTCTGACCCTCCAGGGCTTTACGAATGCTCCTGTCTCAACCCCCCTCAAGTTAGCTATTTCTTCTTTTAAAAAGATTATGCTTATTTGTGTGTGTCCTGGGGACCACACTCAGGTGGTAAAGCTTTGCCCACTGACCCATCTTGCTGGCCCAGATATTTCCTTGCTATGGGATGTGGAGACTCATGTATGGGGCACATGCACGTATGTGCACACCAGTGTGTAAGGGTGTGTATACTCAGAGGCGGACGTCGGATGCCCTACGCCATTGAGACAGAGTCCCTCACTTAACTGGAGCTTGCCGTTTCTCATCTGGGTTGGCTGGCCAGTAAGCCCCAGCACTGTGGGACCATGTCACTCCCATCCTGTGTTGTCATCTGTGTCCTGTGTGTCTCCCGTCTCCCCTGGCTTTTGGTGTGCTTGTCCACATCTAGCTTTTCATGAAGGCTAAGAGATCTGCTTCCCAATTAAGCGCTTATGGCCACTGGGATATCTCCTCAACCCTCAAGATACTTCTTTTCTCTTGTGAAAAAATCTGCCATCCCTCCCTGCCTCCCCAGCATCCTCCTCTACCATTTCTACTTCTCTCATATCCTCTTACACCCTCCTTACCCCCACCATCACGCCTGCCATCACCCCTACCTCCACTCTCACCCCCACCATTCCCATCCCCACCCCCATCCTTACCCTCACCCCCCATCCTCACCTCCCACCATCCCCACCCCAACCCCTCCATCAGCTCCCCACTACCACTGGCACACAAGTGCCCCAGCATATGCAGGGCTGGGCAGACATGGTCCTTGACACACAAAGAGCAGCAGAGAAAGCCCCACGGCACTGACACTACAGAGTGTCCTGGAGAGTTATGACTACCAGCCTCCACCTCACAGCCACCCCCTCGCTGCGGGAACCTCCCCTCAGTCCCCATGAGACAGTCAGGCGAGAGAGCTGGCTCAGGAGGTTAAGACTCCACACTCCACCAGTTCCCAGCACCCCCATCAGGTGGCTCACAACTACTGCGGTTACACTTCAGAACCTCAGACACTCTCCTCTGGCTTCTGTGGGCGGCGTACATGCCTAACTCAGCATCTCCACATAGTTAAAAATATTTTTAAATGATACAAAAGGGGGGGGGAAGTGTAGGGAAAACAATTCATTGGCACAATGAACACTGCTAGAATCGCAAATCAAAATATAAAACACACGAACCATCTCAGCCATTAGGAAAGGCAGGCTAAGCTGGGATGGGAGAAAAATAGGCCATAACGGTTTCATATTTATTTGTCAAAAGTCTTTGTTTAAAGAACAAACTAAACATGCTGGCCCTTCTCCTGAGAGAGAGAGACAGGAGTGGGAGGAGCCAGGTCTGATCTCTCCTCAACAGCAGCCATGGGAAACTGACAGATAAGACTGGCTGTGCCAGGGCTGGGGGCAGGAAATGAATTGTGTGAGTCACCTTGCTATCGCTCAGTATCAATGGGAACAGAAGTGTTTTTAGGACTGCCATACACCAGCAAGGAATGTGCTGGAATACAGTTGAGCACTGAGGGAAACACCACAGCGGGGGAGTGGAAAGGGGGGGATGATGGGAGTCTGGGGGGAGGGCACACTGAGCCACTCTGAGCCTCAGAGAACCCAGGATGCCTGCTAGCTGGATCCCCCAATCCACACCCATTCTGTGCCAGGCTGGCTTTGATGCATGGCTGGCATCACGATCGCCAGCCTTCACAGAGGTTGTGGATGGGTCTCCAAAGAGCTAAAGAACCGGCCTCTCACGGGCAACAAGACAGGGCAGTACTAAATAAAGCTCATTTTCAAATCTCTAAGTCTACCAGTATACATAGTGACACATCGAAGCATCCGTTACACATAAGGAGAGTACCTCGCTGCACGATCTGGGACCTGAACAGCTTGTTGAAAACAGTCAGAAGGCAGGAAGTGACCTCAGAGGAGGAGAGCTTGTTTCCTGCCGTCAGACAGCTGCTTAAAGCTACATAGCTCCAGCTATATCACACGATTGCTTCTGGACCTGGATTTCCTCATCTGGGCCTGGCTCTTCACGGAGCAGAGATAAGGGTGCCCCTTTATTAACCTTACAGCCTAGGGTTTAGGGCCTGGCCTAAGGGTTACATAGCAGGACCCACTAGAAAGCACAAGGAAACACCCATGAGAGGTAAGGTGTATAGCTCAGTGATAGGGCACTTGCCTCACAGGTGCAAAGTTCCAGGTTAGATCCTAGACCCTTCACAAATAAGCCAACACACAGAGAGAGAAGCAGAATCCAAAACCACTGCCCCCACCCTGCACACAATCTTACGTGGATGAAAGCAGAGTGTTGTCGATGTCTCTCACCGTAACTCCAGAATCTATGGCAGCACAAGGTATCACACACCCTGCATGAGCATAACAAAGTACGGCCAATGCCGGCCCACGTTCCCAGCCTGTGTGCTACATACACAATACACTGCCAAGCCAGACAAGGGCAAATGACCCCAACTAAAAACTACACCATAAGGAACAAACAACCGCATTCGACATCTTCACACAGGATTTGGGCCAAAGCACATCCCAGAAATGCAGGACACATCTGAACTCCACATGCCAGAGCCATGTGGCATGGCAAACAACCCACAACAGAACTCATCTGCCTGCTTCTGGAAATGCCCATGGTCAGTCAGGGTTGCTGGAAGTTTCTAGAACATCCTCATTTCTTTTTGCATTTAGGAGCCTTCACAAAGCTTCGAGCAGGCAGTAAGGGACAAGGGAAGCCATGTATACTGGAGTCCAGCTGGGAACCACAGGTCAGCAGAGAGGAGTCAACCGCAAAGCATGGCTCCGGTGCAGAACTGGCATCAAGGTACAGCACACAGAAAGAAGCCTGGGACTTTGGTTCAGTTGGTAAACGGCTCACCTCAGAAGTGTGAAGATCTGAGTTAAATTCCCTAAACCCATAGTTGTTGTGACCAATAACTATGCATAATTGTGTGGACTTAATCCCAGCACTGGGAGGTGGAGACAGGAGGAGCCCTGGACTCACTAGCTAGACAGACAGCCTAGCCTATTAGTGAGCTCTGGGCGATAAGACACACCGACTCAGAAAACAGGCGATGCTGCCTAAAGGATGTCCACTGAGATTGAACTCTGGCCTTCACACATACACGTGCACACAGGTCCAAGTGCACGTTCCATCCCAGAATATAGCAAGAGAGAGGTGGACGACTCACTTCATTGTGCTCTAGGCAGTAGATCATGAGCTCAGAGAGAATCACCACGCCGGTCCTTCCCACCCCTGCGCTGCAGTGAACCACGATGGGGGGGTGCCTGGTCTTGATGCCTTCCAGCACGCTGTTGGTGTGGCGTCTGACTGACTGGATTTCCTCCAAGTAGGCTGCAGGACAAAATGTGAATCTTGTCACCCAAGTGTGTCACATGACTTTGCATCCAGGGGGTGGGGGGAATAGCAGGGAGGCGCCAGGGCCGAGGGTGACTCTTTTGTTTTCGGTCATAATAATTTGCAATTCTTATAAGACACTAATCATTTGGCTGCTAACTGCTGCAACACCCCAAGCCAGAAGAGACCAGCTGGGAGTCTGTAATTAGTCCACAGGAGAACTTGTTCTTTAAATAGTTCTTTTTTTTAAAAATTAAATTCTGTTTCCCTCTCTGCAAATCCCCAAGTCCCGCAGCAGATGAGTCTAGACATTACTTACAGTATTTCATATTCCTCACAGACTGGGATGAGCATCCACTAAGTCCCCTTGAAATGCCCGCCTGTCAGAGCCAATTACTGTCGGCGAAAGAGCAGCCACCTGCCCCATCCTCTTCCCCGACACAGAATCAGTGAATGTCAACCAAGGCTTCGATTCATTTTCAGATGTCAAAAAAAAAGGCTTTGTGGGAACCCACTGCCATGAAGTTATATGACTATTCAATAGGAACCCCACTTCTGGGGACAAGAAGCCTGTGGGTGGAGGGACAACATGTCTGTGGGTGAAGGGTTCAAGACCCTCTCACAGCTTCTAGCAGCTGCCTGGCCCAGCAGGGGTGCACAAAGGTTTGTTTACTGTCCCAAAGGGACACAAAAGAAAAACAGCCACAGGACCCTTAATGGGTTTTGCCATAATCATGTAACAAGTAAAATAAGATCTCTGGATGCTCCAATAGCCAGCTGCTATACACCAAGCACTGTGTCAAGATTCTTACAAAATCAACCCTTGGGCAACCCACCAGGGGATGCCCTGCATCCTCCACTAGTTTAACCTGTCATCCCTCAAACCGGCTCTGACTTAAAGGATCTGACTACACTTTAGAGCATCTTCTGGGCCCCACCTGTCAGCAGAACAGCAACCATCAAGCAAATCTATTTGTATTAACCAGGATTTTCTTCTTAGAGACAACTTTAACAAGTCCACCAGCAGAAGACTCTCTAAGCTGAATAATCAGCGCTGTTAGGAGGGCGGGAAGTTCTGCAGCGGTCACACCCCACCTCACTGACAGCTAGGATAGACAACTGGTCACTAAACCTCTCTGGGGCTTTGGATTCTTTGCCCCATAGCTGACCTACTCCGTGTTCTTTATGTTCCTCAAGGCCATTCCCCATGGTAGTGGTAAATGAAGTCCTTCTGTCAAAACATCAGAAGCTAACAGAAGCAGAGAAGAGTTTTTTTTCCCTAGGTCTTGACAACCTCATCTCTGTCTTGTGAGCCTTCTCAGACCCTGAGGCAGATTCTAAACATATCAAAATAAACGCAAGGTTCTGATGTTGTCCAACACGCACACAGTGGGTCTCTGCACACAGTGGGTCTCTGTGCAGAGTGGGCCTCTGTGGTGAGCACAGTATGCCCACTTGCTGTTGGTTACCTTCCCTGGGCTACTACCTGGTACACACAGCACCCATATATTCTCATGAGTCAGTATCTAAAAGTAGCCATGCCCTGAAAAGTAAAATACATGTAATGGATTTGCCTGATATTGGTGCCGCATGCATGCAGGGCAAATCCTACCATTCTTAGGTGTTTCTGACTGCCATCTTTGACTTGGTGGGCAGTCTTCAGGACTCATCCATGTTATGGCCTGCTAGTGACTATAGAGACACTAAAAGTCTGAATCAATGCAGAATTAGGTTATCACACTCTTGCAGACTTGCATAAGACATTAACAGAACAAGAGACACTTATTCATCTTCTCTGTCCTCTGCAGAGGTGAGGGGACTTCAGTACTAACACTCAAGTCACTTAAGAGTAGGCATGACCACAGTCCACTCAACTGACAGGCTATGACACATTCGGTAAAACTCAGTTTGGGGAAAACTTACACAAAAATCCTTGGACATCTTCTGGGCAGCCGTGGTGGGGCCAGTCAGTATACTGCAGGTGCCACACTGTCCTCTCCTGCCCGGAAAGCAGGTGCTTCACCTTTAGGCCCGTGGTCGCATAGCAACCAGAATCCGTCCGGAACTTTGTGGTGACCTTGAACTTGCCGTAGGTGGCTGAGCTGTGCTTGGATCCCAGCTTGGGCCAGTATCGATGGCTTTTGGTCCGTCCGCCCTCCTGAATCACACACAAAAGCAAGACAGAAACAAGTCAGGGATGCGCTCTTATCCATCCTACTGGAGTCAGGAGCCATGAGCAGGAGAGCGGATGATGGTTTCTAAGTCACATCTCAGCAGGGCTCTGTGCAATGTCTACTGGGGTGAATTCTTTAGATATGTGCCCAGGCTGATACCCTCTACAATAGCAGTTACCTTGTGGGGAATTCAGATAGAACACAGTGAGTACAAAGTCCAAATGTACAGGAAACCCCATGGTGTGTCTGAGAATGAGAAAGGCCTGCAGGGTGGCTGGAGAGGAACATGTGAGAGAGGGAGGCACTGAGCCAGGAGGCAGGAAAGGCCTCACCTTTCCACAACGAGCCTGGATGTTAGCCCACAGAGAACAGAAAGCCACCTAAGGCTTCCGGGTGGTAAGCAGCACATTCTGGTGCTCATCCCAGGCCCTGCTTCTGCTGCTGCTGCTGACAGCCCAGGGCTCTTTCTAACACACTGCCCCATCACCCAGAGCCGCTCTGGAGTTTACCTCAGCTTGGCTGCCTTGCTTCAGCTCAACCTACAACTAAAGCAGAGAAGAGGTACTTAGATGCCCTTTTCCTTCCCAGCTTTAACATGTTTGCTGAGATGAGAGTATGCACAATCTACCATTTACAAAGCCTTATTTTTTTTTTTTATATTTTGCAAAGTTCAGAAATCCCTGGTGTGTGGTGGGAAGCTTGGAGGGGCTGGTGGCTGAGGAGGGGAAGGGTGACGAGGCTGGTTGTTGAAAGCAGATGTAAGTAGCAGTGAGCTGTGTAGGGACTCCACCCAGTGATGGGTAGAGGAACCCTTCAGTGGGTGGGGTACATCTCTAGCACGTGTGAAACCCTGAATTCAATCCAGAAGACTCAACAAACCAGTGTGCTGGTGCGTGCTTGTCATCCTAGCACTCGGGAGATGGAGACAGAGGTTCAAAACTTCCCTTAGCCTTGGCCATATAGCAAGTTTGAGGCCAACCTGGGCTATCTGAGACCCTGCCTCAAGGCAGACAACCAAATAACTGACTAAGAAAGGACCTATCAGTTCGCCTGCTTGTAAGGTGACACATCCTTAGGGGTCACAAGTCAACTTGTCTGGACTTGCTGGGTTTGACTGAGTCTCCTTAGGTCTTCAGTATGTTTTTTCTTTTGTACCAATCCTGTAAAAGTGGGTTGTTCTGGGGCTGGAGAGATGGCTCAGTGGTTAAGAGCATAAGAGCACTGGCTGCTCTTCCAGAGGTCCTGAGTTCAATGTCCAACAATCATATGGAGGCTCACAACCATCTGTATATGGGCATCTAATGCCCTCATATGAACTGAACAAGTACATAAATAAATAAATAAATGGTCTTTCGAAGTGGGTTGTTCTGAGAACACAAACGTACATGTGTTTCAGTGCCCAAGTCAGTTTTGGATTTTACAGACTGATACATCCCCGGCTGTGCCATGGACCACTAGAGTCTGCTTTATTCTGTCATCTCACCAGACCTACAATTTATTTTCTTGGTGGAAGGTCGAGAGAGAGAGAGAGAGAGAGAGAGAGAGAGAGAGAGAGAGAGAGAG